CCACAATAAGATTACTCTGCGTAATACCTATTATATCAAGTTCCTAACGTTTTGTACGTCGAACCTATTCTAGGACCGATTTAGTACAAATACAAGCCTTTACTGCGAAATAACTCCACAACAACCCATTGCTACATTATTATTATTATTATTTTCATTTTGAAGCCTTTTTTTTCATTTAATAAAACGTAGGTAAGATAAGATCACTGAAATATCCTTTCTAATTATTTATTTTTGTTGCTATAAATGCATAAATATATAAATCATATTTTTTTTTTTTAATATGAAATGCAAACATCAATAATTTAGCAGATTTCATCTCTGGAGCTATCATGCTGTATTATAAAAGCAGTTATGTAAAAAGATATATTTGTATTTATACAAAGTTTTGTGAGGTACGGTGGCCGTTAATAATTAAGTATAACTTCAATGTTAAAATAAAACAGTATTTAATTACAACCACAAATAAATACTTAACAAGAACAAATAAGTAAAAGTCAACCAAAGATAATTTACCATTTCAGTGAATACCTTGTTAGTAGCGGGGCTCGGATTAACGTCCGGTAAATTCAAAATCAATACATAAATCATCGACGCACAATAATTCACACTAATTCGACTGGATAGTTTCAGTCAATAGTCAGTCAATGATTACTGCAGTCAGTAGCCTAACACCGCTATTTATACACCTAGCGGAAAAAAATATATTCATAAAGCCAGAGTGTCACGATCGAACCTCGGTGTGGGTAGTTACTCATTTTCTTCCTATATGAAACTTTCGGTGCAGTTTCTGAGTCTTCATATTTTTTTTCTGATAACGTTTCGGCCGACGCACTCTCCGGCTTTATCTGTCAACTTATTCACACTGTGAGTTCGGGATAAAGTTTTTATTTCTCTAAAATATAACAAGATGCCTAAATATTTGGATCAGCAATTCATCACCATTATTATGATGATGATCATCAGTCACTGCGTGGGGGTACACTTGACCACCTCCCTTCATGTTTTGTTGCGTCGTCTTCAGAACATTTGGCTATCATGGCCTTCCACATTTACCTGCCTGTTGATCATGGCTCTCCTCAGTTACTTGCCCATGAACTTAATAAGTTCTGTCTTTTTTGTTATCTATCCTAAACCTATTTTCCGCCGTCCATTTACTCAAGCTCGTTAAGTAGGTCATGCTTTGTTTTTCTACGTCCCTTTTGCCTTCGATCTATCTTGTTAGTATCAAAATCTCCAAGCCCTCTTTCCAAGTACCTTCAGTTTTCTTTTTATGATTTTAAGCATAAGTTTCCTTTCTTCCATTTTATCTAAAACTTTATCGTTGCTCACATGTTCAGTCCTTGTTATTCTCAGCATCCTTCTGTAGAACCACATTCCTGTTTCAGCAAGTTCTCTACTTCACCTCTGGGGAGACTGTCCAGCTTTTACTGGCATATAGAAGGACTGATATTACATAACAGTCCAGGAGGCTTATCTTTTTCTTTTTTTCTAACGAATTTTTTTTCATACTTAGCTTTTGGAAGGTATCTTTGGGTATTCCAATTCCTCTTTCTGATTTTGGTGTGGCGTGTAGTCTTTAAGAACCATATATCATTCTTGATTCATCTCTTTTGGTTTGCAGTGCGAACTGAGAAACCCACCTACGAAGATGAGGCAACAGCTGGTAACCAGATTCTTCATCACTTAACACAGTTATAAAATGTAACGAATAAATATCGGACTTGAGAAAATGGAAACCTTTCCAACGTAAGAAAATGTCAAATATGACCGAATGTTTAACGTAATCTGTGCGACACACTGTAAAATTATACAACAGCTATTTATATTTTTTCACTTGTACTGGTTCCGACGAAAATAGCCTGAGAATATATAATTTACACATATTTTTTTACATGTTATTCTTTTCCCTTTCTTTCTTTTTCCTTTCTTTCTTTTTCCTTTCTTTCTTTCTTTCGTTTATTCATTCGTTATTTTCTTTCTTTCATTCTTTCATTCATTCTTTCTTTTTTTTCTTTCTCTCTTTCTTTTCATTGTTCTTTCGATATTCTTTTGGTCTCTTGGATTTCATCTCCACCGACCACATTGTATCTATTTTCTTTCCAATTTTGTTTCGGTTTCTTTCTTTCTATTTTTTCTTCTATTCTTTCTTTCTTTTTTCTTTCTTTCTTTCTTTCTTTCTTTCTTTCTTTCTTTCTTTTCCATTGATTACCATCGTATTATTTTACTGTCATAGCTTTCCCTCTACAGACATCAAGCGTTCTTCTTTTTTTTTTTTAATTTCTTTTACCCACTCTTTTTTACAGTCTGTCTTTTTTGCATTTCGTCGGCCATTTTCAAAATATTCTGTTATCTTACTTTCTAATCTGTGTCTCTCTATTCGTTCATTCTGTCTTTTATTCTCCCCCCATTCTTTTGTTGTTCTTCGTTTTTTCTTTCTTTTTTCCTTTCTTTCTTGCTATCTTCTATTTCTTTCTTTTCTAACCTTATCACAACATCTTCACGAATCCATAGCTGTATAAGCATAAGGACTAAATTCATAAATCTTTTCTAATGATTTCTGACATCTGCATAGATATGTAAATAGATAGATATGATCAAATATATTAAATATCCGAACAAAATATGCAGAATGGAATATATGAAACCTCAATTGGTGCTTATATTTATATTCTTTTGTCAACGTTTCCTTCATTTAGAATATTATTATACTTCAATAATTCAAGGACAACTGAAAAATTTAGAAAAAACTCCTTACCATGGCAATCTTGTGTCTTAGAAACGATGAGTTTAATTTGACATTTTTTTAAAAATTAGCAGTTAATAAAATTAAAAATAAATATCCATGAACTATTAATGAAGTTTGTTCTTAGAAAAATATTAAAATAAATGTAAAATATAGCGATATAAAAAAATTAAAAAGATAATTATGTTAATAAATAAATAGGGTCGATCCAAAGAAAACAGTGAATTTATATAATTCAAATTACAATTTATTTTTTCCAAGATTGCCAGATATTTTATGTAGATGTTTAACTCGTATCTGTTTTTAAATTACTTCCTTTAATTCAACTTATATATATATATATATATATATATATATATATATATATATATATATATATATATAGATAGATAGATAGATAGATATAAATAAATGTGTGTGTGTGTGAAAAGAAAAAATTGCTTAACTATGAATATCAATTTTTGATGCTCCTTCCCTGACTTCGAAGTTTCTTGGAATTGTCTATTCTTCAAAGGTCAGTTGCTTAAATAAGTTTATTTCATTTTTTTCTTTTTCAATTTTTTTTCGCGTCTTTTTTTTAATCCGTTTGTATACATGCGCCCGTAGATGAATTTTTGCTTTTGTTTACGTGTTCGATCGTAATTGTCATATTTTTTCAATTGTAAATTTTTCTACGAATTGAAAAATTTCTCCTTCAAATTAAAATTTTTTCAATTATAATTTTTTTATATATATCGTTTGAATCCAAATTATGTTATATTATTATTTAGATTATAATATTTATTAATTCATGTTATATTATTAATTAAATTGTAACATTTTATGTTTTATTTGTTGCATTATGTTATATTATTAATATTATTAAAGTAACAAAGTAAATATATATATATATATATATATATATATATATATATATATATATATATATATATATATATATATATATATATGAGGCACGTTGGAGTAATAGATAGCAGCTTGGATTGAGGAATCGGGCCGAGTTCGAATTCCAGTTGAATCCATTACATTCATTTATCATGTGCTAATACCCTTGGGAAAAGGTGTGAATCCTATTCTTCTTATAACTGGTCTAGGAGAAGGACAACTCTGAATTCAAAACCTGCGGAGGGTCGTTTGGTGCACCAAAGTGTGGATGGTCCTGCACGAAACTTTCACCACTATAATCAAATCTCATGTGGTGTTGTCGGGCTGTCGGTTTCCTTACAACTGATCTGCTTGACCCTCATACGTCGAATTCGACGGGAGAGTCTAGTATATATATATATATATATATGTGTGTGTGTGTGTGTGTGTGTGTGTGTGTATGTATGTATGCATAACAATGGTAGATTGTTGAATACAGCTACAATGAAAAAAAAGTAGATCATACAGAAATTACAATAAAAGTACAGAATGAAAAGTAGAACCAGAGCTAGTTAAATTTCACTCTCGAAACGAACGATCGTTAGGATATATGTGTGTGTGTGTGTGTGCGCGCGCGTGTGTGTGTGCACGCGCGTATGAGTGTGCGTGTGTGCGTATGTGTGTGCGTGTTTTTGTGTTTGTGTACCAGTATTTGACTCATATTCATTACTGTTAAATTACTTATTAATTAATTATAATCTTTATAGTCGATGACGTGGTTAATGTGGTTACTTGAATGGATCGATTTGTTTGTAAAGGTAGATATCTTGACTCCTCAGGTGAAAGCTTTCTCGCTTATCGTTCATTTACATCTGATTTCTATGATTCCATTTCAGATGTATATTCCGAGTTTTCCTCTTCGCGCTTATTATGCAGTGAATTCTAGTGCATTTTAATGATTTCAATGCGTTCTCAATGTATTTAAATTCTACGTCTAGATAATGGGGTGTAATATATTCTAAATGCATAAAAACAAAAGCCTCTTATTATATTGGTTTTGCTTTGGTTTTCTTCATGTGAGTAAAAATGAATTCAGTCACTCTTATTTGCTGACGTTCGATAGACTTTGAATTCTAATTTGTTTTTAGATCTAATTAGTAAAATACTGTAGTGCATTATTATTTTCTGTTTCAAGGGTAAAATTGATAGTTGGTAAATCTAAGTTTACTCAGTTGACAATAGTTTTGTGGGTGGGAGTAAATTCTTAATACAACTATGATATATCTGATATATCGAGTGCTTTTAGAAGTGTTTACTTAAAAGGGACTGATTCTTAAAATTCTAAAAATAATAATGCTAGAGTCATTAAGAGGACTATATAATGGTAAATTTAAAATGGGAAGAATATAAATAAAATAGATAGATATAAATGATATAATGTAAGAAACATATCGGCAGGCAAGCAGGTTGGCAGATAGATAGATAGATAGATAGATAAGCAAGGATTGAGTATATAAATAGATAGATAAGCAAGGATTGAGTATATAAATAGATATATAGGTAAAGGCAGAATAGATAGATAGATAGATAGATAAGCAAAGATTGTGTATATAGATAGATAGATCTTGAATACATAGATAGATAGAAGGATAGATAGATAGATCCTAAATACATAGATAGATATATAGAGAGATAGATGGATAGATAGATGGATAAATCCTGAATAGATAGATAGATAGATAGATAGATAGATAGATAGATAGATAGATAGATAGATCCTGAATACATAGACTGTCAGAGCTGACTGCTGGAAACTTCCCAATATTTATTTGTATAATGATACAAAATTTGGCACAAGGCCAAAATGGAGGATGGGGAAAGGACGGTTTTCATCTGTCTTAGCTTTCGGCCTTCTCAAATGATGGATCATATTTTTACTTTTGTTGTTGAAGCTTTTCAGAATAGCTGGTCGGGGAGTCGCCTTTAGAACTGGTAGAAGGAGTGTGACTGTTTTTGTCAATACTCGTTGGGACTTAAGTGGGACCCACTGACCGGAGCTTCCCTATAGCCTTACTAACAACCTGCCATTCCCCCTTTTCCTCCTCCACAACCGCACAGGCGGTGGGCAAAGGCTTTTCGGGGAATGGGTGCCATGAGACGGACCCAACCGGTCCCGGATCTTGGCATGCCCATTACAGGCGAGATGGAAACAACATATTCGGCCAGTGGGGTATTTGGATCAGCGGGGGCCAGAACTCCAGAGGCCTTTATCTCCGGACAGGAAGAGGAGAGGTGACCAGTCTGTCCACACTTTTAGCAAGCCGGTTTTCGACCTGTGACTATAATAGGCATCTTCTAGCCCTCTACATCCAAGCAGTTGGGGATGGAGACGAAGGCCTTACGATCTACCATTAACTTGAAGCTCCATATCCTATTCAGATCATCAGAGGTAGCACTGAGTATCTGCCCAAATTGGCACAGATAAGCGGCCAAGTGTTCCACGACAATCTGAGGAGGAACCTCATATACTGATACTGTTCTACGCCTGCTTTGATATTCTGTCACCAGAATGATAACTTTTGTTATTAGATCTCGGGCGCTTCTCACTCGGTAGGCGTGGGTAACAGTATGTCCCACATGAAAAAGCCTTTTACCTTTTATAACTCTCTGTGGTTTAATCTCCAGGGACGTCAACAATTTTATGACGGTGTCTTTTGTGGAGCATCAAATTTTGCGCGAACGCTTGTCCACCACAAAGACTGACACAAATTCTTTTTCAACTTTCTACAGTTCCTCAAGATTTGTCAAGAGCCCATCTTTTGTAACAAGATGGGCGTAGCTTTTAGCTTTCTCCAGAAACTCCGTAAATGTTGATTCTGCATTTTGGAGGGGACGTGTAGCAACAGGGCGTCTCCACGACTGCTACTTTATCGTCTTTGTTGATACTTTCTGTATATTCAGCAGGAAACTGAGAACTTTGACCTTTTTTCCGTTCTCCTTTACATTTTGGCCATTTCCGGCCACCATATTCGTTGGGGATTCACCATTATTACAACTTTCGGTATCCATACTTTTATTTTCGTCTGCTTCAGATATCTTATCTGGTAGGTTATTCTTTTTTTTCTTAGTCCCAAATAGGTTTTTTCACAGTCTTCTTGGGAGCCGTTTTTAACACTTAAGCTTCTTTTTTCTTTTACAAAAAAAAAAAAACAAAAAAAAACGGAAAATAAAATACAAAGAAATAAAAGGATAAATACAAAATAAATCACAAAAACAAATGCAATAAGACAGTTGGGCGTGCAAAAAAGAAAAACTTACGAAAAATACAGTCGAGAATAAACATTGAAGTTTGAGGCAGACAAAAAATTAAATATACAATGTTAAGATAGATAACGATCACAAATTTCCTTTAAAAGGACTATACACAAAAAGGTTACACGTACGAAGACTCAAAAGAATAAAATACACGAAGAAAATCAAACAATAACACTAAAGTAATACAGCAATAAAACTAAAAACAAAATGCTACACAAAGAAAATACGAAAATAATACGAAACTAACAAATCACAGAATCAAATATGGCTACTGTAATAACAAGTCAGCTCGTTAACAAATGAAAAAACTGAAAAGAGAAAATGGACAGATTAGACGAAGTAAAATACAAAAAATTAAAACAAATATGTACACAAAAGATTTAACACACAGAAAACTTAGCGGATATTTTAAAAGAAAAACAAAGAACGAAATAACACGTAATAAAATTAAAAAAAATAAAGTTGGACGTAGAAAAATTAAACAGATAAACTCTAGCAGGGGACTGCAGAAAATTTAAAAAAAAAATGGAAAATATAAAATCAAAAATTAATTTTAAAATAAGAGAAAATTAAAAAGCTAATAATAAAAGAATAAGAGAAAAAATAGGAAGGGTAAGAAATTGAAAAAGTGACAAAATCAAAAAACTTTTCAAAAACAGTTAGTAAAAAATAGGATGTAAGAAAAGGTAAAAAGAAAACAGACTTAACAGAAACGAATTTGAAGTTCACAAAAATAATCCAGTTGAGTTGCAGAAAAAAAAAGTCAGGTGGTAAACACTAGTCGTATAAGGTCTGACTGCTGGAAGTTTACCTCTCCAAAAGGCAGTACCTGCTCCTATTTATAGCTGGGAGAGTCCATGTGTGCTTGAGTAAATTGCCATAACAGATAGATAGATAGATAGATAGATAGATAGATAGATAAAGCCCGAATAGATAGATAGATAGATAGATAGATAGATAGATAGATAGTTATATATTAAAAGCTAAGATAGCTATAAATGTATCATTTCTTTAATCACGAAAATAATTAAATTTTATTGCCTTTCTTATTACATCTTGCCTAAACCATTCTACAACATTATACCCTAAGAAACGAGTGGGCTTGTTGCAAGTAAAATAAGTAATCGCATGTCTACTCATCTGACTAACACATGAAGCATAAATTATTTATTCAATTAATATAAAATTAAGTTAATAAATCGACAGCACACTGACATGACTTATGCTTATTTTCACAGATAAAGTCTCTCTCAGTTCATCTTTTCAGTTCTGTTGCTTATCAATTATGTAGACCTCACCCAAGACGAAGTACCTATTACCTTTCTCTCTTCAGATATAATCGGTTCGTCCTGTTTATGATGATAAACTACATCTGGCAGCAAGGATCGGGAGGTTTTGAAGAGCGTGGAACCACCTCTTAATTGCCGTTGTTGCCAGGTCCACTCTGACTCGGGGTGGCAACACCTGTTGGGGTCCCAACTGTTAGCAAATAGTTAACTCCCAAATTCTGGTCAAAACGCTATGGAATTATAAAAATAGATTTTTATAGTAAAAATAAAAGCAATGCATTTTTAAAAAAACAAATATTACCAGCAATAGATTTGACTCTCGTCAAAAAGCCTCTTTACAAGAATACGTCAATGAAACCTGATTTACAAACTGATTTCTAACAAAGAATACATTTTTCTATTCATACGAAACTATCCTAAAAATCTTGTCTTAAATAACCCATTGATTTTGATAGGCTGTAAAACAAAATAAACCAAACCAAACCTATAATCGGCCACACCAGATTTTTCGAATTCACCTTTGAATGGGACTGAGTTTGAAATTTAGTGTTCGGCAAGATCTTTTTTTCATTCCTTGCACATTTTCAGTCAGCTGAATGGGATAAATACTTTGAACAACACTTAAAACGAATTTCTTGGCTATGAATCAATAGCATAGATCGATATGAATAAGTCGTTCGAATACGTAAAAGAGGTCGATAATTAATGTAGTGAACTAGACGCATAGTTCGATAATAATAAATGCATTGAATGAATAACACAAATCGATCATAACAAATCGAATGAATTAATGGCAAAAATCGATAATTTCTACAGTGTATCAAAATATAGATCAATAAAAATGTGTTAAATCGATAACAGATCGATAATAATATGGCAATAACTAATTTTTTTCAAACAACATTGGATACAATATTTTTATGTAGTTCAATCCCTGGGCTAAAAAGTAGCTTTTTGAATGGTTAACGGGCATCAGTTACAGTGGGGGGCAGACTCGGCTTCGTAGCTGTGTCTTCAGCCAGGTTACCTAGACTGAAATCAATGGCCAATAGAATCAAATGCCGCGTATTCGTGATCAAAGCGTGACTTCAAATCGGAGGTCATCAACTGGGAATTGACCTGGAGAGAGATAGGTTTCGTTAGGTCTACACACTCAAGACAAGCTACCTATTAATGAATAGCCCTTCACTTTTAAATCCAGATGTGAAATGAACTGGTCGGGTGCTCATTTAGGACCACACTTGGTCATGGAAAGACGCTGCTGCTGCTGTTGCTGCTGCTGATGATGATGATAGTTTCCTTTCTTTCGTCATTAAATAAACTTACCTGAATAAGAACAGGCTTCAAAAGTATAGAAATATTCACAACTATTTGCTTCTGTTTTTATAGTAAGTTCGAAAAGTGAAACAGGTAGCTGCCCTCGAGAATGACTTCTAATCAGTTATTAACACAGGTAAAAAAAACAGTTTGTAAATTTTAACGCCGCCAAAACGAAGCTGTTATCCTTTGATCATCAAAGAAAACCATTTTTGCAAACACCCACTATCAACATGGCTGATGCTAACCTTCAAGCGACCAAGTCACTGCACCTTGATGGTCTCACTTTTTCTACTGACATGAAACCGAATGAATATATTGAATCAATTGTAAGGTCTGCTGTTAAGAAGGTTGGTTCACTGTGTATTCCAAGACAATTTTTCTTGTCAGAACCCAACATGCACATTTATAAATCTACCATTCATCCGTACATCAAATAGAGCTGATATATCTGGTTTGATACTCCGGCTATATACCCCGACATTCTCGACAAAATCCAACGGTCGAGCAATGGATAGAGGCTCGGATTGAGGAATCGGATAACCGATTTCGGAATCCAGTCGAATCCATCACATTCACTTACGTGCTAATACTCTTAGGAAAGGTATGAATCCTCTTCTTCTCACACCAGCTATGGGTAAATAGCAAGACAGACCAGGTTTTATAGCCTTGAATGACAACTGGTCTACTGCAGAAAGAAATGGCACCTACTGCGGGGAAAAAAATCTGCCTCGGCCGTCATGTATTGAAAGATACATGATCGCTTAAGCGTGTATCACGCGTGGCACATAACTGACTGATTACGAGGTACGGCTCGGATTGAGGAATCGGAGAGCCGAGTTCGAATTCCAGTTGAATCCATCACATTCACTTACACTTGGGAAAGGTACGAATCCTCTTCTTCTCCCCCCAGCTATGGCCAAATAGCAAGACAGATTGAGTTCTATAGCCTTTGATGGCAACTGGTCTATCACAGAAAGAAATGGCACCTACTGAGTGAAAAAATCTGCGCCGTTCGTCATGTATCGAAAGATACATGATCGCCTAAGCGTGTATCACGCGTGGCACACAACTGACAGACTGAATGTTTCTAGTTCTGACCTGGCATCTCGACTTCAGTCACTTTTTCCACCGCCGTGACGTGCCATCCTTCTGTCTTTCCTATAAACATTTTCATATCAGTTGTTCTAATAGGCTTTCCTCCTTTGTACATCGACGGCATGAATTTAAGCTTTCTACTAGATTGGCAGATAGGTCTCATCTTTTTATTCTATTTTCTTGAACTTCTCACTTATTGGTCTATCTTCCGATTTCTTGCTTCCCTGCCACCTAAGATCCTCAAAATATAAATGTAACGTCAATCGCCATCTTCTGTCTTCCTGAAAGCTGTTCTTTTATTGCTATTTCTCCTTAGTAAAGTCTTTTCATTCTCTTTCACTGCCGGTAAGCACTTGCGTTTCATTAGCAGTCTTGTCTTGAGTCAAATGATTTTAAAAAATAGTGATATGTATCCTGTGTTAAGAGCGAAGCAACAAGAAATGTCTTTGTCAATCTAGGAATATTCAAAATGTTTAGACAGGGAGCAAATGAACAATGTTTTGCTCCCTAAATCAAGAGGTAATAAATATATGCCACTAATTACAGACGCCATTAACAGTCATCCATAATACAAGTCAAATGAATTTGGCTGCAGAATATATGAAGACTACTTTCTAACTAAACACAAACAAAAGCCGCGCTACCCACGATTGATCAAACGGAAGGAGCAAATCCTGTCCGGTTACTAGAGGAAACCTCCCTCACAGTTTGGGACATCAAAGAAGCGGGTGGTGGAGGTGCAATGTTTGGCAGTTAGATTATAGGTTGTGGAGTATTGGATACATGGAGAGTTCCAAATTGTTTGAAGCTCAGCTAAACATTGACATTTTGAAGGCGCGCATGGTGTCATACCCCAAGAAGAAGGCAAAACTTTCAGAAAATAGATGCTTTTCTGCACAATTCTTCATGATAATCAACATTTAGCTGCCTACTGGTTATCATCAAGAGAGAAAAAACAGCATATTTGGTATTATATTAACAGAATTTATGGTATTTTTTATAAATTATTTATGAATTATAATTGTAGGCTTATATTATAAGCCTGATGTTAGTGATTGCTTGTATCTCGTGAACGGATATCGTGAGGGTTGGGAAACTCTTCTCTACAACTTGACCTTTTAGTGATAAGACGCAGGATGATTTTTAGGGCATTTTTCAGGAAAAAAATGCGTCTTAGCATGCAGAATATGAAAAGTAAATTAATCACAAAATTACAAGTGGACAGTGTGCATGCATTTATATGCAATGTAGGAGGGAGCATAAACGAAGTACTTGATCAATTTAAAGAAAATGGATTACGTAAACTATAAGATAGATATAATGTAGATAGATACATAGGCAAAGATTGAGTAGATAGATAGATAGATAGATAGATAGATAGATAGGCAAAGGCTGAATAGATAGATAGATAGATAGATAGATAGATAGGCAAAGGATGAAAAGATAGAGAGACAAAGGCTGAATAGATAGATAGATAGATAGATAGATAGATAGATAGATAGATAGATAGATAGATAGATAAACTGTGTGTATGTATTTTTATGCAATGTAGGTGGGAATATAAACGAAGTAGTTGATCAACTTAAAGAAAATGAATTACATAAAATATAAGATGGATATAATGCGGCAATAATTCAGAGACAGTTACATAGAAGAGGAAGGTGTTATTTTATTGTGTTTTATGACCGACAGATACATTTTTTGAAGTCGGGCCTGGTAAATAGTATCTCTTCGACTGAAAGGTAAGAAACGAATAAACAAATAAATCAATGAAATCTTTTGGAGTTAAGTGGTAACAAGCCGGACATAAGGTATTTCCGGTCAAAGGTCTATATTAACAAACACAGCTGAGATTCAGGAAGCTAGTGCTGGTCAGACTGTCATTCAGGTAATTCCCATGCCACCCGCTCGTATTGCTAGTCACACGACGTTTTGTGCAGATGGACAGAGTTGGTAGGAAGGAAGAGATGAACTAATGGTCCAACCTAGCAGCAGCTATCCCAAGAATCACCCACTTATCCATCCAAATCCTGAAGCCCTGAATAAAACAACTAAATATATTTGAAAAAAAATTCGTGTTCTCATTTCTCGTCGTGGCGTTCATTTCCATTTTTGTTTACTGGGTGGACGTGAAGCTGGGCTTTCCTAGTCTTTGGTGCAAACCAACGCGAAAGTGAATGGAAATGGAACATGGGGTAACCACTGGCTGGTTTCTGTACGTTTACAATAGAGGTAGTATATAGTGGTTGGTCTCTTCTATCCGAGGATACCTGACTACTAGGGCATATATTCAGTCTCTGTTGCGGAGGCCTGCTCAGACAAATTTGTGCTTGTTAAACAATCAAAGTGCCAACCTGTGGTTTATACTGCAACTATGCCAAGCAGACCTTAGTTACATTTTCTGGGGGGGGGGAGAATATTATCCGGTGTGATCAGCAGTCTGAACAGGGCCAGTGCGCTCAAACACTCAGTCAGGATGACTTGTGATTTTGTGTTAGCACAAATAGTTCCGTCTACCCAATTTCCCTATCAAGGCTTGAGTTAACCCCGTGGCATGACTTTCAGGAACTTTTTTCCCCAGGACGCTAACATAGAGAAGAAATCATCTCCCTGATAAATCGACTACGATCATATTCGATCCCGGGTCTCATGGTAGGAAAGCGAATGTTGTAAAAAACAGTGCCCATAACACCAATAATAATAATAATAATAATAATAATAATAAGAAGAAGAAGAAGAAGAAGAAGAAGAAGATATATACAAGGATAAAATCGCAATACGACAGGAAGTGAAAGCTAATTTCTGGAATAACAATTTATTTATCACTTCATTTGATGTAGAATGCAACCCAAGGTCAGTAATTTAATGTAGGTTAATGCAAACTTTCTTACTTGTTGACTATATTTAAAAAGCGTCAACATCTGTGTAAGAGAGACAAGCTGGTTTGACCTCGCCAGTGACATCTGATATAGCATAGGGTGTCTTGTATTTCGGCATTTTCCCCTCACTACTCAGGGTGTTTCGCCGGAGGCAAATTTTTCTCCATATATATAATATCCAATATATAAAAATATCTGCTGTCTCTTAAATCTTTATATATATTGGTTAATCTGAACATACCCACAAGTATAATTTTAATTCGGAGATTATTCCCTCCGCTTTTAACTTCCATAAAGAGGTAACGATTTATTTTTAAATTTCCCAAATAAATCATTTTTCATCACAAGTTATCTACCATCGCCTGACGAAGTACAATCATATCATTGAAACATGAAAGCTTTTGTGCAACGATGTAAAATGTTGTTATTATAATCTATTATAATAAAAAAATAATATATATATATATATATATATATATATATATATATATATATATATATGGTTGGATTGATGTGAGTTTGTGACCCTGGGTTTCACGCTTTTGCGATCGTCAGACAAACTGATTAATTTTTTAAATTTTTGGGTTTATGTAAATTGCGTGTATTGGTGTTATTATGGGAGTGGGGGGGGAGGATCGTCGTCGTGATGTCATTGTTCTAACGCAAACATAGATGCATGTCCGTACATCCGATGAGGTACGCAGATACACATACACATGTGTTCGTTCGCCGAAACTCATACAGATATAGACATATGTGGACAGTATGTATATGGGTGGTGTTGTTAGCTCTATCTCTGATATTGAGCGCTCTCTAATAAGTACCGCGTATATAATATATAAATAATTATATATATATATATATATATAGATAGATAGATAGATAGATATTTATATTTATATACACACACTTTTCACACACACACACACACACATGTATATATATATATATTTATATACATTTTTTTACACACACACACACACACACACATATATATATATATATATATGTGTGTGTGTGTGTGTGTGTGTGTGTCCAACACCCACAGGGCCCACCTGTGGTTTATAGTGAAACTGTGCGTAGCGGACCTTAGTCACAGTTTCTAGGCGAGAGCTCATTATCTGGACTGATCAATAGGCTAAACAAGGTCAGTATGTTCAAATCTCCGGTGAATTCGCGCTGGCACGATTACCGACTCCCAAATAGTTCCGTCTACCCGATTTCACTCAACAAGTTTGACTTTAAATCAGTTTCCAACTGTAGGACACGCTGAAATCATCTTTCTAGTCAGCCTTCCGAACAATTTTGTCTTTATTCTACCCCCACCCCACGAGGTCAGGTTGTGACACAAGGTCGGTTTAATGTGGGGAGCCCGAGCGCGTGCACCCGGGCAAGGAACAAAAATTCCCCGAATTTTTCCATGATGAAATTCGAAAAACTAACGTTCTAACCACTCAACAATGCCTTTACAATAGTGTGCAAAAAAAAAAAAAAAAAACGTTTGTCACTGAACTCTATGGAAGACCGGAACACATAGCACCCACTGTTTCCGGTGTAAAAGATTGCCATATGAACGTGAAGTCGTATCCGCGTAATTTCTCAAAAAAAAAAAAAATGTCCGCTAGATGAAAGTTTGAAAGTTGCCAATATATATTATCCATAGCTAGATTATTTGCGTGGAACTTATAGAAACTCCCAAAACTTTTTTAACACAACATCGCCTAGTGGCGTATTATTCTGGAAGTGATTTCTTCACGAGTAGGCTTAGTCAGAACAACGAACTCGATTCTCACTGACAGGTTATCGGCCTTGGATTAATACCAAAACATGTTTTCTATGTGAAGAGTGCAGCGACTCAAGGCATTTCAACTTTACTGCCATTGGCAAATCATATTAATAATCAATGTCTCTACTGCAAAATTCTTCATGACAAGGTAATTGATTTCTTATATAGCCTGGCGGGCAATTCTACTTAAAGAACATTTATCTGCTCTATCGTTAAATGAATACAGAAAAGTGAATGTATGTGTTTTCATTTGGCAGTCAAACAAGAAATATTTTGGAAAATATTTCCTGTCTAGTATTGTCCTAAATTTCTGAGTGAAAGCATTACCAATGTTCTATACATTATTCAATTGTTAACTTACTATTTCTTGTTTTCTAGAATTTATGAATATATTGTGTGATAGATAAGGTTAATGCTTGTCTTGAACAAGCTAAGACTGTAATGGTCGGGAAAGCATCCTCATGGGAGTCGATTTAATAAAGAAGCGGTTCGTGGAAAAAAGGCTGTTAGTGTCGAACTTAATTCTCATTAATGAAATGCAACGGGAATGAGTGTGGTTTGCCTCGGCGTCAAGGGTCTTAACTGGGAAGGCTAGAGTTGGCGGAACGAGAAAGGAAAAAGTACGAATAATTTGTCGAATTAATGTTTCTGTTTGTTTGTTTAGCAGCATATCAACTCCTCATGGGTCATTTATTGTTGAAATTTAAATTTCGTCAGAGCATTATAATTTATTTTACAAAAAAATATATTTTAACTTTGAAAATGTATTGCTAGTATTTTTAATATAAAAATGTATATTTATATGTTCATAGTGTTTTAACTCCAGTTTTGGTGTCCATAGTTGGGATCCAAACTACAACCGCGGGCCAGGGTGAACCTGGGAACAACAGTAATTAAGAGGTAGTTCCACAATCCTGATAATTTTTCAATCTCAGGCCTTGCTGCAAGATGTAGTTCATCGTCATATCTAGGATGCGAGTATTTTCGCAATTCCATGTATTGTATTTACATTAGTCGGACTATTGTCCTCATCTTTGTCGCCATATTTGTCACAACGTTTCGGCCGTTGTACGCTCCGGCCTTCTTCAGGTGGTTGGAATTTCGAACTGAACCCTTGTGACAAATATGGCGACAAAGATGAGGACAATAGTCCGACTAATGTAAATACTGTACATAATACCTCATCTCAGAAATATAGACAAATTCCATGTATTATTCGAACTTTTTCCTTCAATTTTGTTGTATCAGGGTGCATTGTATTGGCACCTACTAAATATAAAACTCGGCATGACAGAGGGGGGCCATTATCGGTAATGGAAAATCTGCAACTTTTACGGAAAGGAATCTGCAAGAAGTAGGTGTGAACATCACCCAGACCCGGTTACGGAAATAAGTCCTGTAACAATTTTATGGCACTTTACAATACACACAGACAAAACAATCAAAGTTAATCGCCCAGACATCGTGATTAGAGTGCAAGACAAAATGTGCCTTCTTATTGTCAGTCCCAACAGTTTGCAATGTACCTTTGAAGAACTTAAAAAAAAAACTATCAAAATACATGAACCTTAAAATCGAAATCTCAAAAATGTGTCACATGAGGACAACAATTCCAGTAGTAGTTGGAGTCCACAGATCGACTGGAAAAGATTCCAGTAGACTCATTGAAGGGATTCCTGGAAGCCCATTCCTTAAAGAAATACAATAGAATTTTCTCACACATCATGATTAGAGAGTGCAAGACGAAATGTGCCTTCCTATTGTCAGTCCCAACAGATTGCAATGTACCTTTGAAGATCTTCAAAAAACTATCAAAATAAATGAACCTTAAAATCGAAATCTCAAAAATATGTCACATGAGGACAACAACAATTCCAGTAGTAGTTGGAGCCCTCGGATCGACTGGAAAAGATTCCATTGGACTTGTAGAAGGGATTCCTGATAATCCATGCTTTAAAGAAATATAAAAGATTGTTCTCACAAGTACACTCCACACCTTTCGAAGGGCTTTATCTATATAAAATATATGTGATTTTTTTTCAAAACCGCTCATTGGAAAATGTTGTGATACCATTTTTGCCCTTTGGTCTCTCATCGGGACCCGGATGGAATTGAGTATACGCCAGAAATCAAAGGAAATAATAATAATAATAATAATAATAATAATAATAATAATATGCCAATTTTCTTCACTTTACATGTTATTAACACTTTCCGGTCGATACATTCTTCAGGCTTCTTCAGACTGAGTTTGTATCAAGGTTGCCTTGACAGTTTTTTCTCTTATACTTTTTTTTAATCTTGCGAATGATTGCTAAAGGTTCCTGTTATTATAAATGTCTAAGCGTAGAGCTGACCAGAATTAAAATCATCAACAAATGCAATACGGATTTTATCATCAACTGCAAATTGGTACTCAGAAAAGACCGATTTTAGCTGTTATGGTCGAACATAAAACACCCGGCGGCCATCAGACATGATACTGTAATTAATGACATAGTGAATTCAATAAAGTTAAAGCAAGAATTGCGAGATTTCTATCTCGCCTTTTCTCATTAATCTTTCGATCACGTATGTTTGACTCAAGCGAAAGCACAATTAGATGATGCGCAATGAGATGATCAGAGACTTTAAATGCGCATGCGCGTTTCATTAATCGATTTCCACTCAAAACTCCACCGGAAGTATGTTAGTCAAAAGTCTGATGAATCATTACGAGGATCTCGATCGTAGATATGCTGCGCTTTCGTCGCCTAAACCATTTCAGTTTAATTTTATTCGCGCTCGTTTCATTTTTATGACTACATTTATCAGCCATTTGAATTCGTCCGCTCGACGATGTTCCAGAATGTAAACTCTTCTATATTAACAAATAAGAACTAGTCACATGTACCTCTTAGGGGCCATAAAAGTAATGACTGTTCATTTTAAATTCTCGAGGGCATTCAGGTACTTATGAATGGGAAAAAAGTAAGATAGGCTTAAATTCTTCTTCCCGAATTTACACAAGTCAAAACATAAAAAATACTCAAATGAATGGAAATCGATTTTCTTAGTAAAGTCTATTAGTATTAAGTAAAATAAAAGATACAGAGTAACCCGGATATAAGAGACTTGTCGGGACCGGAGAAGAAGTCTCTTATATCCGGGTTTCTCTTATATCCGGGTTGGGTCTATTTTGTTTAGGTAAGTATGGCTCTAATTTAGGACCAGAGAAAAATCTCACTTATATCCGGGTTTCTCTTATATCCGGGTCTCTTATATCCGGATTACACTGTATTTATTTAAAAAAAATATTTAAAAAATAAAAGATAGTTATCTTTATGAAAAAAAATATTTAAAAGTAAATCTTCAATCAATTTTTAAAACAATCGATATAGTCCCCTGGATTTCGCCAAGTTGGTTTGGTTTGGTTTGTTTTACGGCATATCAACCTCAATGGGTTTTTTTTAATGCCGGCAAGATTTTTATTGCTGGTAATTTGTTTTTTTCAAAAAGGTATTGCTGGTAATATTTTTTTCAAAAATGTATTTCTGATAATAATGTATTGCTGATATTAAAAAATATTTTGACACTTTCATAGTGTTTTGACCCCAGTTTGGGTGTTAACTATTTGCCCATAGCTGGGACCCTTAACAGGTGCTACCACCCCCGGTCAGGTGAACCTGGGAACGCCAACAATTAAGAAGTAGTTTCACGCTCCTCAAAAGCTCCCGATCAGAAGCCTTACTGTTAGAAGTAGTTTATCGTCTTACCCAGGACGCCCAAATTGGGGATGTGAAGGAACGAAGAAAGAAAGTCTGGAAAGAAAAACAT